CCGCATAAATGGGGACGGTGAACTCAAGGAGGAAGATTGGGTCTAGCTTGGTGTCCCCAATGCTGTTGCGACCCTCTGTGCTTTCTGCCAGAAGCAGGAGGAGGAATGTAGGATACATGGATGATCCATGCCGCGTTTGAATCTTCCCGCCCGACCTCCTGCGAAAGGCCCGGTGCCCTTCCCCTAAACTCAAAACTCCCAAGTATGCTAGGCCACGGCCTCAGGGGGAAAGGGGTTTCGGGCCTGGATTCTCGCAACTCAGCCAGACCAGACAAGATTTCCTTGAGTCTGAGGGGTCTTCAGGATTCAGGCCAACCATCAGAGTCAAAGCACGATGAGCTTAGAGCTTTAACTTTGGGGCTTAGGGAAACCCCCATGGCAAGACAAAGTCAGTATGCAGTAGAATAGAACAGAGAATCACACAAATAACACACGCCCTGGTTAGCAGTAAAGATAAATACCACTAACACCTAAAACAACAGTAGCGACAGCATGCAACGACGTCGTCATCAAGCCTGAACCCTAAACACTCGAGCCTGAATCCTAACATAGGGGCAGGCAACAGTGAACAGATACCCATATAATATAGTCCCATCAGACTACAGTAACACCGAGCATCTCATTCTAACTGTTTCGGCGCCCAGACTAGAGAACCCTTAAGAACAAACACATACTCTCTCTCACACACCAAAATACCCAGGTCTACTTATGATCATAGATCCTCAACTTGAAAACCTTTTTTGAACCCAGACTCTGCCAATCAGCTGGGAAGCAAACTTGAAAACCCTAAACCCTAAACAAACAGATCCGAAACTTCTAAACCCTAAACTTTAAGGATCTGGTGACCGGTGGGTTCAGGCAGCCCAGACCTGCCTCCACGGTAGCCCGAGCCCTTTTCGCGGGTCTGCAGTGCCGAGCGCATGTCCTCCGTGTACTTGGAGGAACATAGGACTTAGTAAGTAAGGTTTAGGGTTTAGGGTTTAGGGTTTTAGGGTTTAGGGGTTTAGGGTCTAGGGTTTCGGGGTTTAGGGTTTCGAGGTTTAGGGTTTATTTGGAGGATGATGGGACTTAGTAAGTCAAGTTATAAGTACCCTCATTGGGGTTATAATTAGTTGCCTTATTTATAACCCTAGTTACTAAGTCCCATGATCCTCCAAGTAGGGTTCAGGGTTTAGCCTGAGGGTTCCGGGCTTTAGGGTAATGTAGGGGCCTTAATAAATAGAAGTGGGTTTGGGGCTCCTTCATAGCATAACTATAGTAAGGAACCTAGGAAAGAATATAGGCAATTAATGCGGCTTTAACACTATGATACATTTCACGGCTGAGGGGCATGTAATGGCTGCTCTACGTTCATACTCGGACAAATCCAGGCGAGGTCTGCAGATAGCGTGACGATGCCTGCCAAGCTGAGCACAAGAACCACATGTGTAGTTCTCTAAATTAGGGTCCCTTTTAGGGTCCTTTTTGTAAGGGTGCCGTACTATATTTGGAACCCAAAAAGGGGCCCTAATTTTGAGAAGTACCGACATGGAGATCGATTCACCTCCATGCGACACTGTCAAACCGGACTGTGTAAGGGTTTCGACTCTCACAGGGTTTCGGGAATTTTTGGCTTTCGGGTGATAGGGTTTAAAGCCCTGACTGCTGGCATCCGGCACACAAAGCTTGGACTCTCAAACCTCTAATAAAAATTATCCCTAAGGGCACTGAAGTATTTCAGCAGTCGCATCCTCCCAGGACCCCGCCAGCATGGGCTCTGCAGTTCCACCTTGCGGCCCACTTGAAGCCTCTCTCCCTTCGTCCACAGGGCTTGGGGGGTGTGCGAAACCCCCTGGCCACAAGGGCCCCCCACTTTTCGGGGTTGCTTTGAATGGAGGCTCCCTCTCCCTTCTTCTTCTTCCCCCGGGCATAAGGGACTGGTTAGGTCCCTCGGCCACATGGGCCCCCCATGTGTTATGGGGCTTTGAAGGGACTGTGATAAGGTTTGCTCGGACGGGCCAGGGCATCACATCACAAGTAAGGTAAGTTACCAAGATACGACAGTGGGTAAAAACATGCGCCCCGGTCCCCCGAGTTGACTGTGCACAGTGCTCAGTACCATGCTTTTTGGACACCATTACAGTACATCACTCTCCCCCGTGCCTCTTGTCTGCAACACCTGCAGCACTCGGAAAAGTAGCAAACCTCCGCCCTCTATCTATCTATCTCTCTCTCTCTCTCTCTCCCCCTCCCTCTCCATGTAACCTGTGTATGTATTTATGCATCCTGGAATTAAGTCATGTCAAGTAGCGAAAAGGGGCACGGCTGAAAGTCCCAAACGATACATCGAATGTTCGAAGAATGATCGCTAAGATATGCACCAGCTGTCAAGTTGAAGTTCTAGGTGTTCAAGGATGACTGTCTGTTTATCTCCCCTCTGGCCCTATATGTATTTAATTAGCATGTGCTAAACGACACTTCGTCATTCCTGTCTGCTAGTACCACATCCTCCCGCGAACCGGCTGCTCTGCAACAAGGTTTCGAAATTAGTCTGAGTTTAACCAGCGGGAAAACGTTTTGGATCAAGACTTGGATGAGGTTCTACTTGGTGGATCAGGGAATTTCACCACAAGGTTTTTCTCCAGGAAAATAGATGTACAAGGTCGTACTTTGTACCCCAAACAAGGTACCAACGTTACTTGCACAACAGTTCCCTGTTCGCCAAGAATCCCTGAACGGTAACGTAGCCCCAGACCCTACCTAATCCCTCACCATCCTGAAAACTCGCCTATTCAACTTTGGCTTCTGCCAGAACAGCGAGCAGGACCAACCCCAAACTGCAAACTAGAGCCAAGCTTTGAAGCTTGAGGATTTCCGGATCCCTTCCAATGCGGGCAAAGGGCTCCCACAAGGTTCCCGATACATCTATGACGGAGTTTGCGTACCAAGAGGAACTACTGAAAATAACGGCTCAGCAAAAATCACTCCAAAACCCCTTGCCCTTAACCCCAAGCAGAGGTCCTTGAAGTCTTGTACTTACCAGGGTTACCAAGGCTGTCAGAAACCCCAAGGATCCGCGGTCCTGGAATCCTCTGACCAAGTTCTCCATTGCGGGAAGATCGTTTGCAGGCGCTTCTTGCTCGACTGAGTTCGCATGGAGCGGGCCTTTGGTTTGGAGATTTGGCATCACGCCTTCCGACAAATAAACTAACGAGCCTGTTGGTGATGTCATGATGACCAGTACAGTAGCTAACTGCCATAGCATTTCTGAATACAGCCAACATGAGAATCGATATCATCTTTAAACCAGAAACCATAATGATGTCACAAACCTAATGGCATGACCCGGCACTGTGATTCACTGTGAATGATCGCTACTAAATTTGCTCGGCGAATGCCTAGATACGGTCCTAGATATTGTACTTGGGCAGATTGAGAATCTAGGCCAAGCTTTGACCTATCTAGGGGTTAGGGTTAGGCTCTACGGTGCCGTCGGCTTGGGGATGATGAGGAGTTCGTGTTGAAAGCTTGGGCTTGACCACATTCATATCAAGGCTATGATGTTGAAGCTAGGAACCGAAATCTTGCAGTTGTGTGACAGGTTTCCTGGTTCGGTTTTTCGGGAGTTTTAGGAAGTTTTAGGCATAGGCATCAGCGTGCACAACTATGTAGGCCTATGCCAGGATTTAAGGTTTCAGGGCACGCAGCTGGCTCGGCAGAACCCGGCAGCATGCGGGATTTCATGGCCCATGCAAGTTAGAATGACCGCAACTCAACGGTTTAGGGTTTAGGGTTGCCTAGACATTGCAGCTTTCGGGTGTCATGTCCTTCCATCAAGGATCAGGACAAGGTGGCTGCGCGCGTGGGACGGATGTTCCCACAAGTCTCAACTGTCCACGGCGCAGGCGGAAGCAAAGCACAAAAAGTGGGCTTCTGCCGAACCTTGAGAATTTGGTGATTAGATGTAGTAGAATGGGGTTTTGGGTTCATTAAACAGTGTAACTCTAATCAAGAGCCGCTAGTACTTTGTCAGGCTTCTATCGGTTCGCTAACCCGCGAATCCAAAACTCAAACCAGTGAATAATGTAGGGATCTTACTTATGAAAAAAATAGGCTTGTGGGATCTATTTGCACTGTATAAGTATCTTAGAAACGCGCAGACCCCTATACTGGGCCCGCGACGCTCGCATCAAAACTCTGCTCTCATGTAGATAATGTATGCCCCAAACCCCAATCCAAAGCCCTACCAACCCGAATCTACTCGAAAATCTTACACCCCCCCCCCCCCCCCCCCCTGAGAACACTTGCGGAAGCCCTTCAGAACACTTATGGCCTCTTATAGAATCCTTATAGAACTCCCCTGTGCAAGCACCCAGGGCTTTCTCTCTGCCGATCTGGCTGGTCCTCGATCCATAGGACCGAAGCATGGGGGTCAGCACTTTTGTCTCCAGACCCTGGCTAAAGAGCTCGTTTCTGCAGGCTCCGACTGTGGGAGAGTTCTTCTGTTTCTTCCTGGGCTCAGCTTGTATGCTGATACAGCTCGGTTGATATGATGATCCTGCCTCGCTTCAGCATACCTGAATGTTTTGAGAAAAAGATAACTATATATATATATGCTACCCCCCCATCATGTATCTACTGTTTGTCTGTGTTGGCATCATGTTGGTGCTACACTTTGTTTGCTTCTAGTCTTTAACTGATACGG